TTTTATCAGCATCAGGTATTTTATCAACTGTAAGCCATTCATCTTCTTTGGTACCACTGTATCTTACTAAATATTGTTTAATGTCTTCATTGTTTTTCTGATTTTTCTATGTTGTAATATCTTCTTAATTTTAATTTCTTCTTTTTCTAAAGGAGGTATTACAACTCTGATGTTATCTTTTCTTAAAGGAAATTTATCATTATCACTAGTTTTGTATGGTTTAATTAGACTAACTGGGAATGTAGGGTGTTTTCTTTCTAATTCTCCAGTAAGTATAACTTCAACAGCATTTGCACCGTGTAATTGTTTGATTGTAAAGGGTCCTACAAAGGAATCTCTCAATTTTTTAGGGCCAGTCAGGTTTGTAAAATTAAATGTAGATATTAAGACTTGGTCTCCAACTTTAAACTGGTGAGCTTTGTGAGTTTTATCCCATCTAGTTTTGTTGTAATCTACAGCTAATTTCACGCATTCTGCTGCATATTTTTCAGCTTTGGTCATCATAAAGTGAAAATCAGAGGCACTTGGGTGTATGTGTACTGCTTTTGACATTAAAATTTCTTTTGGAAACCAAGGAGTCCAACCTCTCTCTAATTCATAAGGTGTTTTATTTGTTGTACTGTGTTTGCTAGAATTGTAAGCATATTCAAGTGCAGGTAATAATGAACACCAATCATGAGTATAGTTGTCTTTATCCTTAAATGTCATACCATAGGCACAATATCTTCTGATCATGTCTTCCAAAGTTTGAATCATTCTTTCAGCTAGTCCATCTGTTTGGGGGTGGTAAGCTGTAAAAAATTTTAGTTGGGTCCCACATAAATCATATAAATTTCTCCAAAATTCTGACGTAAATTTAGGGTCTCTATCTGTAATGATATATCTGGGACAACCAACATCATAAATAATAGAATTCCAAAATAATAATGCAGTATCCATTGCTGTATCTTCTTTATGACACGGTAGAAATCTTGCTCTTTTGGAAAATCTATCAACTACTACTAAAATTGCATTAAAATTGTTAGGTCCTCCAGGTGGTAATCCAGTAACAAAATCCATGTTAATGACAGACCATCTTTCTTTGGGTTCTTCAATTTCTTGTAATAATCCATATCTTTTTCCTGTAGCTTTATTTGCTTTTTGACATCTGTCACAAGATTCACAATAATCTTTAGTATCATTCTTAAAATTAGGCCACCAAGCAATTTGTTTAACTCTCTCAATTGTTCTGTCAAAGGAAAAATGAGCTGAAGAGATATTGTCGTGACATTCTTTCAAAAATAAATTAATGTGTTCTTTTAAACAAATAACTACTACACTTGTATGTTTAATTCTGTGGTAAATTAATCCATCTAACAGAGAGAATCTATTTTCTTTGAATGAACTAAGCCATGGTTCTTCTAATGAATTTATCAGATCATTATTTTTGAAATTACTTTGTAAGATATTTTTAATTGTGGAGCAATTTTTATTTTGGTCATAACTAATTCTAATTTCATCCCAAAATTCTTCTTGCATTTCAGTTACGTGTAACCCACAAATATTAATATCATCAGTGTTATCATCAAAGGCAGGATTATTTTCATTATTTTCCTCTGGGAATAAACTCATAATTTTTGCAGCAATTTCTCCGTCCCAGGCTGGGTTCTCTGGTATATTTTCCAATGACCATCTACTAAGTCCATCAGCATTTTTATGTATATTACCTTCTCTATGTTTAATAGTCATACTTCCTCTCCATTCTTGAATAGCTATTTGCC